TCTTTAGACCTAAAATGCTACTCTATGACCTTCATTTTTACCAAGACATCTTAGCAGGTAAAGTCAAGTCAAGAATGAGGGTGGAGATGTGAAGGATAAAGTAAGGTCCCGGGCTAGGGCGGAGTAATTCTCTTATAAGTCAATCACAAAGAGACGGAAGTTCCTCAATCACAAAGAGGTGGAAGTTCCTCAAAAGCTGAGTAGAGGATTTAGGTGAAGTTCCTTGTTTGAAAACTAAACAATAGAAAACTTAAGCAGTTCTTTAGAAACTGAATAGAGGATTGTGAGATAGTAAAGAGGTGAGATTTGGGTTCTCCTCCAGGCAGTAAAAGAATTCTAGTTATTCTAGTACTGCCTTGTCTTACAGTATTAATTTTGTTATAACTGTTTTTATTAATCAGCCAGTTGTAATATTTTTGATTCCAAGAGGACTTTCTCATCCTGGGGCAGCGCTTGCTCCCCTGAGCCAGGCAGCATCTATGAGGCTGAGGCAGTCCAGGAGAAAACTGATGGCTGCTTGGAATATTTTGATTATACAAAAAAGGGGGGTCATAATGTTACAGAGCACCCCAATGTGAATTGGGTTGCCTGTCTGTGGGTCTTCACCATGCACTTATGATTCAATCGTATTATGGACACACTCAAAAGGTTAAATAATGTATTTATTTATAAGGAGAAAGGTAAAGGAATAACCCAGGGAAAGAGGGAGAGAAACACAGGGTAACTAGTGTGTCCTACCAGTTCTGCTGACGTGGACTCCACCGGCACGCTGAAAACCGATTGAGCACCAAAACGATCAGCTGCGACCCACCAGGCCAAGAGCCCCCCAGAGCCCACATGTCCGGTTTTATCCCAACCTGGCTGCTCAGCTCCACCCTCACGTCCCAGTGTGCTTCTTCTTGGTACTGATGGGATTTGGAGTTCCAGCATCTGGAGTAGGGGCGGAGTCCATGAAACCTGTACCTGTTACAATAACATGAGCTAGTGTGGAAATTCTGGTTTTTCAGAGCATTTCCCCTGCTTCCGGATCATGTCTGACGAGAGAAGTTGCATAGCTTGTGTCAATACAAAAAAATGGCCAGACCCAGGAACAGAAGCAAAACATCAGTATCACTGTCAAAGTGAAACATTACAAGCCCCATATTCTCTTTAAAATTTTCTTCCATGTGCAGCTTTTCATGTGCCTCAGTCTCTTTTCCCTGCAGTTAACCAGCAGAATTCCCTGTTGTGTCCGGGGAAGTTTGGCAGAGCCACCCACGGGCGCACCCTCCTGCTTGGTGAACATGAGGTCCCAGAGCACCAGCCCCTCACACATCCCTGGTGGAGCTGGGGACCCTGAAAAGTATGACAGCTCAGTTCTGTTTCCTGCTGTCCTAAGCCCGATCTTGCAAATGTTACCTGTCACAAGATTCTAGATCCATGAACTCCAGATACCTAACGGTGCTCTATGAAATCCAGTAAAATGTTTGCCTTAAGTGTCTACTTCATTAAGTGATTTTCTTGCTTGATAAGATTACTCTGGTAATACACAAATATTTTCTAATGAATGAAGATTCATTTGTTAATGAGAAGAGCTTGGAAAATGACCCCTCCCTCCATGCACAATTTGTCTGAAGGAATTTCCATTTTGTCAACCACACAAGGGACACAAGGGAATACGTTAAAAAAATTATTTAATTTTTTTAAGATTCGTTAATGCATATAAGAGCTGTGGTGTAGGCCAGAGAAGTGGGGAGTGAGAGGATTCACCAGGGACAGTGCGGAGCAGAACAGGCAGATCTACTGAAATATACTGCTGAGGGGAGCAGTGGGTGAGACAGGAGAGGTCTGCTGTGCCGGGGAGGGGATCGAACTCATGCTGCAGTGGCTGCTGCTGGCTTCATAGTGCTGAGACAGCCCTTTGTGTCAAAGAAGCGCCTCTTAAAACTGTTTTTAAAAAGGTAATTTTAAAAGGCTATACACTTACAAAACTTTTAAAACTTTAAAACCAAAGCTGAAATCAGAAAGAAAATTTTTATTTCTTTTTATTTAGAATGAAAATGTTTAAATATCAAAACAGAGAGACAAAAAATAGCACCGGATGCCATTAAAGCAGCTATTATTAGCAGCTCAATAGCAACTATCACATAATAACAAATCACCCCAAATATCCTGTTTTACAAACACCCCTTATACCAGTTTCTGGGGGTCTGATGCACCTCAGCCAGGTGGTTCTGGCACAGGCTCTCACCTGTTCAGGACACTAGCTGAACAGAGTAGTGCCACCCAACTTCAAGTTCCTACTGGGTGGGGAGCCAGGTCCCGCCCATACTCCAGAGCAGATGGAGGAAGCTCTGCCTCTGAAGCGGAGCATATCTGAGGATTTTGGAGACGTTGTCTATCACAGTGCTACTTAGACAGGACTTTAATTTTAGGTGCATGCATTAGAGAAAAATATTGAAACTAAATGTCTACTCAATGGGGTTTTGAAAAATAGAGTAGGTCTAAAGATGGTAAGAAGAATGAAATAAGGAGCAAAAATGAAATAGAAATTACATTAAAATGTTCAACAAAACTAAAACCTAGTTATTTGAAAACAGCAATTCTTCAGCAAGACCAATCAAGAAAAAAAAGAAAAATTACAAATACGCAATACTAGAAATGGAGAGCAGGCCAACTGTGAAGAAAGTGAACTTCACGAGTAACTGAAAACAAAGGCATAACGGATGATTTTAAATAAAATACGCTTTACTGAAAACAGGCTCACGTGACGGAGAAAACTTGAATCTATAACTATTTATTAAGTTAAATGAGGAATTAAAATTTTTAGCCCCCTTTTTCCACCCACCTCCCACAACAAAAATAGATACCAGGCCCACTTGGGTCTTGAGGTAAGTTTTATCAATAAAAAAGATAATCCTTACACAGTTATACAGAAAACAGAAGGAATGTTTCCAAGTCACCTTCCAGCCTAATACATAATTCACATTAAAAGTGGATGTAGAAGAACAGAAATCCTTAGGCCAAATTTATTTTGAACATTGATGTATAAATCCTAAATAAAATTAAACAGAATTAGACAAAACCATTAAACAGAGCCCCTGACATGTACAACTGGCTTAACAACAACAAAAATTTCATCAATGTCTTTCATTAAAGGGAAACAACAGGCTCACCCCAATACATTAGAAAAGTATTTGATATTATTCAGTTTCCATTCCTATTGAAAATGCTTGATAAAGTAGGAATCAAATTTTCTTATACAGCATATATTAAAAAATCATACATCCAACACTGAATTTAACATACTTAATATTTCTAACAAAAAACCCAGGATTTTAAAATTCAGATTTTAAAATTAGGAATATAAAGATTTGATCATATCTGCTATTTAAACTCAGCAATTAAATAAGAGCGATAAGAATTATAGTGAGAAAAATCAATCACAATTTATCATTTCTTTGTTCAGTCTACTTTTCATCAAAACTGACTCCTCCAGGAAGATTCTCCAGGAACCTCCAATCTTTCTCCAGCCACGTCCAGCGGCTTGGTCAGGATAGTGGATCATCTCCACCAGACACGCATGCCAAACCATCTGCCCAGCCCATTCTCACCCACCCCTGAGAAGACTCCCTGAACAGTCACCGCCATGCCCTGCCGCATTTCAGGCCTTAGGGGACCGTCTCACTTTACCCCTTCCTACCAATGTGTATCCCGGTCCAGCCCAGTGATGCCCCCGATGGCCTCACCTGTCTCTTCTCCACCCCCTGCCCCCACTCCATTCCTCTAAAGTTGGGCTGCAGCCCCCATCACTACTCACAAGAAGTTATGGAGTAAGTAGTGGAGGGACAATTTAGTAGGGTAAGGAAGCAATTCAGGATTCCCAGTGCGCGGGTAAAGGGATGCAGGATATGACGCACAGGTGAGGGGCAACTATGCAGGAATCAGGTGAGCTGGAGGAGGAGCTGCACAAAACTGCCAAGCACACACAGAAGCCCTGGTGCAGGCAGCTTTTACATGAACACACTTAGCGCTCAGCCAGGAATATACCGAACATAACTCGGAGTTGGTGCTAAACACAGAGAGGCCATATGGAGTCATCTCCCAAACTGACGTTATTTAGGGAAAAGGTGAATGCCAAGTGAACAGGGCCTCTGGGGGAGAGGAACTGGACAGGCCTTTTACTTCTTTTGTAATAAGCACTGTAGACAACTGCCCACGTGTGTAGGTGCAGTTCCGAAGAAGCACCTTTAAATGGTCCAAAAGAGCACATCGAATAAAAACTTTCTGTGCTAGGTGGTGTCACGAAGCAGTCTTCTTTTGCAAGGACCTTTCATGCTGTATTTTTAAAAACATCTAGCTTGGAAACACGGATCCCATCGCGCCCTCCAAAGCAACAGCGACCTGGATGCATTAATGTTTCGGTCACATCAAAATCTACCCTGTTTATGGCTATTAATCTTTAGTCAGACAATGGTGAACTTTTAAATTTCCAGAAGTCTAATTAAATCCTTTCTTAGGGAAGAGAGGTATTTTGGAAATTATAAATTACTCCATAAATATTATTTTAGTGAACAAGTCACCATCAAACTTTAATTTTTAAGAATGTGCAAATTCTTAGGATGGCTGGATTATCGTTGACAGTCTTATTTCTAATACTGACCCATTCTGCATGTGTGTCTTCAGAAAGAAGAAAAAAAAAATGAGCTCACAGATGATAGCCAGGGAAAGTCCTTGGCACTAGCATTATCTTACACAAACACTTGTGGAATCTTCCTTTTTCTACCTTAAGACATTTTAAGGGCCCTCCCTGGTGGTGCAAACAGGTTAAAAGCACAGCACCATGAAGCTCTCAGCAGCCACCTCACCGTGAGTTCGATCCCCGGCCAGGGAGCTGACCCACATGGCTCAGCAGACCTGTCCTGTCTTGCCTGCTGCTCCCCTCAGCAGGGTACTTCGTTATCTGCCTGTTCTGCTCCCCACTGTGTCTGGTGAACCCTCTCACTGCTCCTGGACCTCTGTCCTGTACCCCAGTTCTGTATGCATAGTTTTTTTTTTTTTTTTTAATGTTCTAAAAGGTCGGTGAGGACCAGCACGGGCTACCCAGTTCAAGGTGCTGGGAGGCAGGGCTCAGTCTAAGGTTCTGCAGCATTTGGGGCCCTGCTTATTCTCCAGGGGGAACCATGGCATGCCTGATGCCCGCGGCTTTCACAGGGAGCCTACCACACCCTCCGGACCCTGGGCCTCAGCTCAGGGCCACCACTGCAGGGGATGGAGGACAAGGTAAAACTCAGCCTTGGCTGGTCGGTGTCCCAAGGTGGGGGCCAGAAATGACAGCATGAGGACAATCAAGGGGAGGTCTCTATATGACTGAGGTCTGGTGATTGAGATACGTATAAAATCCGTCATCAGGTTGTTCACGTCAGCTTTTATTGAGCACCTACTCTGTGCCCAGCATTGCATAAGGTGCAGTGGGCTGTGGCGAATACAGAAGCATAAGATATGGAACCTGCCCTCAAGGCTACAAAAGTAGAGGCAAAATCAGACGTGACTCAGGCAGCATGTGATACAAGAGCGCCAGTTTGAGACCATGTGTGCTAAGAGGCCACCAGGATCCATGGGGTTGGTAACAAGAGTGTGTGTGGTTGTGTGTGGGGGGGATTGAAAGCAGATCAGGAGGGACTGGCCCCGTGCATGGAATGGGGAAGGATGAAGCAGCAAGGCTACCTGGCCTGCAGGCAGCAAGGACACACCGTAACCCTCTTGACAGTAAGGCCCAGTAGGTGCATCTCCGACTCCTGCTGCCACCCTCTCCGCTCCCACACAGCCCAGGCTTGACTCCCAGCCCCTCTCCAAGGGAAATGGAACCTGCATGTTGAGCTGTACCAGTGCCAGCTTAGTAGACTGATCAGCCTCCAAGACAAGGTTTGTCTGACCGGATGTTTGCCCTGGGGTTTTTAAATTGGGCTGATCAAGGGCAGAATATTCTGGATTCTCTTTACAAGGCCCAGCCCACACTAAGCATTTGATGTTACCCCAAAGCCACATGCATCGAGAACCTTCGAAAAAAACCAGGAAGCCCCACCTCATACACTCAGCTGTGGTCCGAGAAGCAGACGCCCCCTGGACCTCACAGGAGATGATTCCTCTGCCACTGAATCGGCCTAGGAGACGCAGCAGGTTTTCCTTCTGGGCATGCTCATGTTTGTGTAACTCTGCCAGTCCGTTTAGAGCGTCAGAGAAGCTGGCAGTAGAGGCTTTGGGCAAGGGGGGCTATGGGACTTGACAGATGTCACATCAACTGACTTTCCCAAGAACAGCTGGCATGAGATGCTGCACTGGGCAGGGAAAGGACGCTTTCCATCCTACCCAACCAGGAGAGCCAGGGCAGTGGTCAGAAAGGTGGCAGGACCCCCATGGACCTCAGGGTCAAATTTCACACAGGAAACTTTTAGGGCTGCGCAGCATGGAAGGACCAGTAGCACTGAGTGGGGCCACAGTCACAGGGAGGGGCTGCTCTGGCGTGGGGTCCGCTGTCCCCCACTATAGCAGCCCTACCCAAGTGCCCTGCCCCCCCAAACCCCCCCAGAGTCCTGGGCTTCCAGAGAAGAGGCATCAGTGCGTGCAGGGCTGAGGGCAGGCGTCGGGGCTCAGGGTCTCAGCAGGAGGCGTGTTCCCGGCCACTTGAGCCACAGGAAAGGGACCAGGCGCCTGGTGAAGGTGGTGGTGAAGGTGTACAGGAGCTCTTGGGACTCCGCGTTGGTGAAAGTCACGGTGCCCCCTTCGTAATCCAGGGCGACGCCCACTCTCCGGGGCCGCAGCCTGGGGAAAAGCTCAGCCTCGGGGTCAGTGTTGGCCCAGATGCCCGCGGAAGAGAGGCGCAGTGCCCACACCCCATCCTCCGGCCTCAAGGAGAGATCTCCCTTCCTCTTCAGGGAGTCCCTGGCCACCCCCACCATGCAGCTCTCTTGGACTTCCTCCTCCTCCCCCTCCTCTCCCTCCTCCTCCTCCTCTTCCCCCAGAGACTCCTCATCTTCATCCGTCTCCCAGTCATCATGTCGGTAGCCATAGCTGACCTCCTCCTCTTCCTCCTCCTCCTCCTCTCCCTCTTCCTCCTCGTCCCCCTCCTCGTCATCCTCAGACCAGCCATCCCTCTCCAGCTCCACTTCCCAGTAGACTTTGCCCCAGGTGAAGCCTTTACTGCCCAGCACCCCCGGCTCACAGTCAAACTGCTGGGGGTGCAGGTAGTGACCGTGGTACATGCCGCTGTAGGTCACACACTTCCAGTCATCCGACAGCTGCAGGTACCCGCTGGCCGACTGCGGGTCCAGGGTCACACTCACTGTGGGGACAAAGGGAAATGAAACAGTGTCTCAGGTCCCAGGTCTCTGTGGGGACAAAGGGCAGGCCCGCAACACCCATAATCTGGCAGCTGTGTTCACAGCCAGAGCTGCGTGACTGGGCTCTCTGGGGTGTGCTGTGCGTGAGCTGACTGCAGGGCGGGGAGGAGCCAGGGGGGGAATCTGTGAGGACAGGAAAGGGCCAGACTATCAAGGGCAGGCTCTAACGCAGACTAAAGAGCAGTGGATGGGCCGGAAGATGCAAGGTGGGCTTTCGATTAGCAGCTGGGAAGTGCTGGACTGGGAGAGAGGAAGTGCTCCCAGACCCAGCTGGGCCAGCAGTGGGCAGTCAGCAGCTCGAGGGGGAGCGGTCTTTATTTGAGGCAAATGCCCCTGGATACTCACCTTTCTTGTATTCCAAGTCTCTGAGCAGCTTCCCTGGGGAGAAAAGGAGGACAGCAATGACCCTCAAGCCCAGCAAACTGAAAGGCCATTTGTTACTCAGTCTTCATCTCACAACCGGAGCTCCCCCTGAGACCCCAAGAGAACCGGAGCTCCCCCTGAGACCCTCTCCTCCGGAGAGGAGCTAGCGCTCAGGATGGAGGTCAGAGATGTATAGAGGGAGCCAGGTCACCTCCCTCCGAGTGGCACCCAGCTCCTAACGCGCACCCCGAAGTTGTGCCGATGCTTACCCTGGAACTCCCGCAGGCCTCGCTGCAGAGACAGAACCTTGTCCGAGAGCTCGCCCGTCTTCTTCTTCACCACGGGAGACACGGGCTTCCCAGCCCAGAACTTCTTCCGTGGGTACCTGAGGGGAGGCAGCAACCTGTTACTTACCTCTGCTTGATTCTACCCACCCCGTTATGAAAGGGAGCAAACAGAATGACGGTCTCCTGCCAGTAGACAGAAAATGGGCCTCAAAGACACTAGGGGAACTACCCAGGGCTGAGTCAGGGCTTAGGACCGGCAGGAGACGCGATTTGCAGAGTTTTTTTCTGTAGAGCCACCCTCTCCCATCTCAGACAGAGACCCCAACTCGGGTGAAGAACAAGCCTCCAGTTCTCCAGGATCTGAAAGGCCGTCGGGTGAATCATGGGATCAGGCGCCTTATCGCTCCCCATTAATTTAAGTGGATCATGGTCAAGGGAAAGGGGGAGCAGGGTAGAGGCACTGTGGAAAGGAAGCTTTTACCTGCTCAAGAGGTCTTTGGAGTCCTGGAAGGGAAGCACAAACATCAAAGTGAATGAAAGGCCGCCTCCCAATGTCCCAACACCGCTTTAGGATCGTATCAACAACAGACAGGCATGGCCCCCCTGCGGGAGCGGACACTCTAGAGGCTGCACTGGACAGGACACGGAAACGCAAAGTAATCACAGAGACAGAGCAAACGGGACCGGGGGGGGGGGGGGACAGGGCCCTGTGCTCTGGGGCAAAGGCACCTGTGCTGAGGCTTGAAGAGGGAGAAGGTGAACGATGGGGAGGAAGAAGGCAAGGTTGGGGAGGCTGTGGCGAAGCACCCAACGGCCAGATCAGGCAGGGCTGGAAGAATCGTAAGGAGTTGAAATTTTGTCCCATGTACTATAGCCAGCAAAGGGTTTTGAGCAGGAATCTTTATGTGATAGGTATATGCAATCTGGTGGGCACGGGGCTGAGTAACCCCCAGGGCCCAGTCTTTCCATTTTCTTTTAGTATAGAACCCCTGGAATCATAGCTGGGCAGAGTGCCACCCAACGAAAGACATTTCCCAGACTCCGTTGTAGTCAGAGCTGAGCACGCAACTAAATTCTAGCCAAATGGATGTGAAAGCAACCAGCGACTGCAATTTTGGGGTGATAGCCTTTAAAACAAGGAATTGTGGGCCCTCCCTGGTGGTGCAATGGGTTAAAGCACAGTACTACGAAGCTTTCCGCAGCCACTGCAGCAGGAGTTCAATCCCCAGCCAGGTTGCTGACCCACATGGCTCAGCAGACCTCTGTTTCCCTCACTGCTCCCCTAAGCAGTGTATTTCAGTCAATCAGCCTGTTCTACAACAGGCTGTCTCTGGGGAATCCTCTCCCCCCACCCCCCACATCTCACCTGTACCCTAGTTCTGTATGCATAAATAAATCCTTAAAAAAAACAAGAAATTGTTTTTCATTTCCTCATCTATATATAGCGGTGGTGGTGAGCCCAAGTTTGACTGAGGACACATGCCAGGAAGTAAGCAGGACGACCAGACGGAAGAGAGCTGACCTGCCGGGTCAGGACCGCCGCCCTCGCAACGGCCAGTGGAGATCAACCCCCGATTTGTGCCAGCCTGTGCCTGGGTCTGGCGCAGCACTTGGCTGTGCCGTGGGCAAGGGAGCAGGGAGCCGAGCGGACGTGGCCGGTGCCGCGGAGGAGGAACCAGCACAGTGCAGGAGGGTGACACACACCATTGCGCATGTGAAGGACAGTCAAGGTCGGCTATGACTAGAGCAGGAGGGAGGGAGGAAGAAGTTCTCCTGAGATGCTGGTCACTTCCCTCTTATGGGGCCAAAGTCCCCACCACACACTATGCTAATTTCGCCTTCCTTTCACTCATTCCACAGCTACTAATTAAGCGCTTCTTACACGTCAGGCACGTCTCCCCCCCACTCCTCTTCCAGTTCAGGGGCACATCTCTCTCCTTTCCCTGCAGCTGCCCCGCTGTGGGGTGCACTTGTTCCTGGAGCAGAGGGGGACACGGCTGGGGGTGCTGGTGGAGGTGGAAAGCAGCAAAGACAACAAAATCCCTGCCCTTGTAGGAGCTGAACATCTGGCAGGAGGAGCAGACAGCATCAAGCCAATATACAAGAGCTGAGAGTTACGGGGAAAAGAAACAGGAGTGTGAGGGGACCGAGGGGGCGGCGGGAGCCTGCCTCTGAGAGAAGGGGCTTGGGAAACAAACGGAAGCACCACACTGTCCCAGGAGCAAGGTGGGGCGCTGCTCCAGGCGCAGCCATGTGAGAGATGGCGACACTCCCACCCGCACTGTGAAACAAGAGCCAGACACTAGTTGAAAGTTTCTGGCAAATTCTGCCAGTCCGTCCCTTAAAACAAGCCCAAGCCAGCTACAGGGGAATAGGCTGACAAAGTGAGGGCCGAAAAGCCTGCTGAGAGACGTGGTGTAAGGGTAAACGAATGGGCAGTATGGGGGAGCAGCTAGGGCTCAATAGGGCATACTCTGTGCCATGGAAGTTGCTAGAACAGTAGGGCAACAATGAGGCCATCTAAGGTTAAAGGCTGTGCGCAGAGCAGAGAGCAACAGGTACAGGAATACAGACAAGTGCAGGCATCCTGCTCCCAAAGCACACAGAAGGCGAGATGGGGTGCCCCGAGGTAGCCTGCAACCACGACAGGGGCCCCAGAGGGAAGAGGCCTGCTGTGGGATACCCGCCTGGCACTCCTGGAGCAATGAGAGCAGGGCTGAGGCGGGGGCAGCAGACGTGGCCATCCCCAGCATGGGTCACGCGTGGTGTCAACCCAGAGCACTCGGGAAGGCTCTTCACACACAGGTTGGTCGGTGACCTGCCCCCGACCCTCAAGCCTTGTCTGGGGCTGCACAGACAGGATGGTGGTGTCTGGAGGGATCTCTGATGGCAAGAGCGCTGACTCTCTCTTCCTGACCTTTAACACTGACTGTCCTCATACTCCTAGCCCAGAGATCTTTCTTTGTCTTCTCTCTTTTTTTAAAGATTTACTTTTTTATGCATACAGAACTGGGTTATAGGGCCAGAGTTGCAGAGGCGGTGAGAGGATTCAACAGAGACAGAGTGGGGAGCAGAACAGGCAGATGGACGGAGTATACTGCCGAGGGGAGCAGCGGGAGAGGCAGAAGTCTGCTGCGCCATGTGGGTCAGCTCCCTGGTGGGGGATCGAACTCGTGCTGCAGTGGCTGCATGAGCTTTGCAGTGCTGTGCATTAGACCGTGGCGCTACCAGGGAGGGCCTGAGGTCTTTCTTTTTCTATCACCTTTGTCAAAGACTGCTTTACATTATTTGTCCTCCTGCTTCTCATTCTCACCTGTATTTCTTCTACCAGATTTTTTTTTTTTTGAATGAGGCCTCTATTTTAATCAGGTCTCATTCTTACTACCTGTTGAAATTCTTACTGCCTGGGACAATATTAACAGCAATGAGGAAGTTAGCTGTCCAGCTCCCTTGCTGCAAAATCAAACCCAAACAAACACACAAACAAAACCCATCAGTATAACACTTCATGCACTGGTTTTAAGCGAACACACACTTTCTCTCCCTTCTGGCCTCTTCCCCCAGTCTGAAGGTCTCAAGGCACTGGAGGCTGGGCCTCTTGTTGGCCCATGAGGTTTTTTTGGGTGGATTGGGGTGAGGATCCCTTCTGGGAAGATCCCACCAGCATGCCCAGCCATGTCCCTCTGTGTTCCAGGAACAAATGCACCCCATGGGGTGTAGCTGCAGGAAAAGGAGATAGATGTGTCCCTGGACTGGAAGAGGAGGTGGAGGGGAAGCAAGTGGACCAGGAAGAGTCTGAGAGAGGAACAGCAGGGTACAAAATGACACCTGGAGGGAATCAGAGAAACATCTGGGACCAAAAGAGACAAGAATAAAGAGCACAGAGGCTTGGGAGTCAGGCCACCTGGGCGAGAGCTTAGACTGGATTCCTGACCTGCCCCCCAGTCTAGGGCAGACCCCTTCATTCTCTAGCCCTCGGGACTTCAGCAGTGGGAAGAGTCCTAAATCCCTGCAGGCTGGTTCCTGAGTCTAGACCCAAATTGGAGAGGCAGGCGAAGCCGACCTTAGGAGACTTACCTTGCCATGTCCCCAAGCCCTGCCACTGGCCGGGACAGCAGTTCCTAGGGGAGACCTGGGTGGTTCGCGGCAGACAGGCAGGCTAGTCACCCCAAGCCCCACAAGTGGAGAAGACCATCCCGTGCCTTCTCCGGGCCACTGAGGGAGGAGAGATCAAGCGGCCCCTTTCCAAGGTTCGAGCCCCGTCCAGGGCAGGGTGGGGCTCCCAGTACGAGCTGGGCTTTGTTTCAAACTGGCACCCTGCACTCCAGTCCACAGCTCTCCCTCTCACCTTCGAAGCCACCTCCTCCAGGAAGGACTCCAGAGGCACCCTGCTTGCTCCCCACACGCCTTTTTCTCTGAGCGTGAGTCTCTACAGTCCCAAAGAAAACCTCAGCCATCCGTCTCCCTTCCACAGTTGCCCACAACTCCAGATCTGCTGGGGCTTTGCAAGAAGCCACAGCTCAGCCCTGTCTCCACAGGCTTTTTTTTTTAATCTCCAGATCCATAAAAAGCTCTCCTGGTCAAGTGACTGCCAGTGACTTGTTTCAACAGGCTCATAAGGATAGTGATGAGACTGAAGACAGAAAAGAAAACAGGAACTTCTCCTTCTGTTCCTATAGTACTTTAGAACATTTAAACACTTTTATTGGAAAATGTAGATTTTGAAGTGACACCATGCCAGTTACCTCTTGGAGGCTCACGTGGCCACTGGAATAAGTGGGGTGGGTTAAGGATTGTCACCCGCAGGATTCAGATGAAAAAACAGGCCCCGAAAGGAAGAGGGTCTCCGTGGTCCCACATGTGGGAGACAGGGGCCCCCACCCAGCGAGGTAGGTCTCTCACCTGCAGGAGCTCCGCAGCAGGTTGCTTCACTTTGGCCTCCAGTTCAGTGATGGCCTGGGTGAGGCGGGCGATCTCCGCAGCAGTCCTGGCCCTGTACTTCTCCCTGCTCTCCAGGATCTCCTGCTCCAGCTTCCCCAGCTCATCCAGCAGATGCTGCTCCCGCTCCCTCAGGAACTGGTGGCCTTGCTCAAACTCAACCACGATGTTCTGCCTCTGCTCTTGCAGCTTCTTCTATAGGGAGGGAAGAGGTTAGGGGTGGCACTGCACCTCAGGTGAAGATCCCTCCAGGAGGCCCACAAAGCTGGCTCGTCCCCACTATCTACTGCACTCATCGGTTCTCAGCACCCAGCCACAAAGACAGGACAAGTGAATCCATTCGGTTTCCTGACTGCCGTGATCAATCAGCCCATTCTGTTCTAGGCAAACCTGTATGTCCAGGGCCTTTTAAGGAACTCTGAGAGCCAGCACCCTTTTCTCTCCTGAACACTGATCGGTCACTTCTCTCAGGAAGTTTCCCCAGTTACCTTCACCCAAGCCCAGTCAATCCTTCAGCTCCTTCCAGATGTATAAAATACCTGAAGGGATTTGATCCCTGTCCCGGGGGCGCGCCGCAGCCGGCGTCCCCTCATGGTGATCGTGTGGAGTAGCTGTGTCTGTTCCTGCTGTGGGATGCTTATTATATCTGTTCCTGCTCTGACTCTCCCCCTAGGCCAGGCTGGGTCCCACCCAGCGCCCGCCCACTCAGGTCCTACCCTGAGGCTCCTCCAGCCAAACCCTCTGGCTCCCCTCCAAACCCGCATATCAAGTCTTCCCCCCTTCTTTGAAGAACAATCCGGGCCTTCCTCAGTGCCCTACAATGGCGCCCCCTGCAGGCCAGCAGCAGCTACTGGCCACACCTGTGCACTGAGAAGAGACCTGGCTGGCCTCTGGGCTTGTCACTGTCAGATGGGGCAGCAAAGAGCCACCCAGCTCAGACTCACAGGCGAGGGCTGACACCCAGGGCTGCAGGCCACCGCCCAGAGCTCACCCTTCCCTGGGTGCTGAGCTGCACCCTGCTGTCTGGTCCCCTGCTTCCCACGGCCCATAACCTCAGACCTTTCTCCTAACGGTGTCACGTACCAGGGAAGTTGTGAGATCAGATTCTCCCTTTGTTTGAAAGCCCTGAATTTTGTCTCGGTCTCTCCGTAAGATCCCCAGGTGGTTCACGACCTTGTCCTGTAGGAAGACAAGCAGTGGGACAGGTGGACACTCTGGGCTTAGTCCTCAGCCAGGAAGCCTTAGAGGGGCTCGGCCAGGCTTGTCTCCAGGAGTACTGAGCAGAGAGCCCCAGGGGGTGGGGTGGCGGGGCACCCTGCCCGGGAGGGCTTACCTTGTGGGGCTGCACGGCCTTCTCCACCAGGACGGCCGTGTGGGGCCTGTGCTCGCGCGACTCCCGGCATATCACGCACAGCAGCTTCCCGTCGTCCTCACAGTAGTAATGGAGCTTCTCCTGGTGCCGCTCGCACAGCCTGGCATCCTGGTGCTCCCGGGCCACTTGCCCCTGCTGCCGGCCCTTGTCCACCTTCAGCCGCTCGATGTTCTCCACCAGGCTGGCAAGCTGCCACACAGGCCGGATGTTCTCCTTCTTGAAAGATTTCTTGCAGAGGGGACAGACGGAGCGGTTGCCCGAGACTGGACGGATGTCACTGGTACAGACGCGGCAGAAGACGTGGCCACAGTCGATGGTCACGGGGTCCCGCAGGTAATCGAGGCAGATGGAGCAGGTCACCTCCTCCTCCAGGCTCCGAAAAGGGGCTGACGTGGCCATGGTGTCCTTGGTTCAGAGAGCGCTCGCTTCGCCAGCAGGATCTCCTTCTCCTTGGAGAGAAGACAGTCAGGAGCGGGCACAGCAGAGGCATGGGGGCTGCCCGGCACTGGGCCGCCAGCTCCAGCAACAACCAGTCACACTGACAGCTCCTGTAAGACTCCAGCAGCACCACACGACCACTTTATGGAGAAGGAAACTGAGGCCCAACAGGGTAGCTTGACAGAGTAGGCCGCTCATGCCGCGCTGGCAGCATTCCTACCAACTGACAGAGCAAGACACCTGGTAGCTATCTGCTGGAAAACTGTCCTGATAAATCCACAGGGCCTCGATGCCCCGTGGGCACACTGCGCTCCCTCAACCATGCAGCGCACACATGGCACAGCTATACACAGGAGTCCTGACAGCCAGGAGATCCTCTCCTGCCCTTGCAGGCTGCTGGTGCCAAAGACTGAGAGCACAAGTGTGAACCACCTGACTCACACTCATGGAGCATCAAGTGGGCCTCCCTGGTGGCTTACGGGGTTAAAACACAGCACTGTGAAGCTACATAGACACAGCCACTGCAGCATGAGTTCAATCCCCGGCAAGGGAGATGACACACATGGCGCAGCAGACCTCTCCTGTCTCACCTGCTGCTCCCCTCAGCAGTGTGCTTCAGTGGATCCACCTGTTTTGCTCCCCACTCTGTCTCTGGTGAATCCAATCACTCCCTGCACCCCTGGCAGATTCGTATTTATGCTTACAGAACTGGGGTGCAGGCCAGAGGTGGGGTGGGTGAGAGGATTCACCAGACACATTGGGGAGCAGAACAGGCAGATTGACGAAGTACACTGCTGACAGGAACAGCAGGTGGGTCAGAAGAGGTCTGCCTCGCCATGTGGATCAAGCTTGTGCTGGAGTGGCTTCGGAGAGCTTCATAATGTGGTACATTAACCCACTGTGCCAACAGGGGAGCCTGTAAATCTTTTTTTAAAGAAAAGATTTATTTATTTATACATTCAGAGCTGGGGTACAGGACGGAGGGAGTTTCCCCAGAGACAGAGAGGGGAGCAGAGCAGGCAGATTGATGAAGTACACTGCTGAGGGGAGCAGCAGGCAAGACAGGAGATGTCTGCCACGCTGCGTGGGTCAGCTTCCTGGCCAGGGAGTGAACTCATGCTAAAGCAGCTCATAGCGCTGTGCTTAACATGTTGTGCCACCAGGGAGGGCACAAAAAAAAAAAAAAAAAGCATCAGGAGCTTTCCTTTGTGGGTGCTTTTGCAGGCTGGGCGGCAGGGCAGTCCCACTTTGGTTCACTTCTCCTAGAAAGCCACTCCACTTGGCCTCCACCTCCCGGGGCATGGCCTGGCAGTCTGCACTCATCTCGGCCCCCACTCCCCACAGCGCTGGCCTGGCTGCTCTACTGCTCCCCATGGTGGACTGTCCAGGCTGAGCTCGCAAAGGAAACGATAAGGGAGAAGCCAGCTGCCATGTGCTGATGAGGGCGCCCGCCCAGGGGTAGCACAGCGCTGAGCAGAGACCGCACGTACGCTAACTAAATCTTTCAAAATACAGAAAGAAAAGCTTTCTGAAAAGCAGGGTTACAATTATCTATATCTCAAAAGAATCCACAAGGGTCTGTAATTACCAAAATACCAAGTCACTAGTGAGAGATCACAGTGGCCGACACCCGTAGGTGGGCGATACAGATGTGTTGCGCAAATATAGGGGCTCCGGGGGGGCGGGAGGCAATGCTCCCTGTATGGACCCTCTCACCTGTGAGTCGGCCATCACCAGAGAAACGCAACGAGGACGTGACTTTGGTCAGCGCTGTTGTCTGGTTATGTCCATGCTGACCGAGGACTAACCCACACCGCCCATACAGGTGCGACCCGCGGTGTGAATCTAGGAGTGCACAGCCAGGCTCAAGTTCAACTTTACCTTCAGCAGCAGCGCCCAGCTTAATGCTGATGCTGACTAAGAGCACCCCAGCTGAAGGTCCAAAAATGGGTTCAGGTATGAGCGACATGGGGGCGCCAGAATAACAGCTGACCACCCCACACCCAATCCTTCCAACACCAAACAGAGCCTTTCACAACCTCTTCTCCACCCTAACCATGCCCCCCTGATTCTGCTCTTCATCGGTTTATGCCCACAGCAGTGTCTCTGATTATCTCAACAGGTTTCCACAGTATCTTCCTCTCCATCCCTGGCTCTGTTAAGGAGAAACCACAAGAAGTCAGGGCCAAAAATCCTAAGAGATGTCACTGTCTACCTCACTCCCTTTGCCCAAATTCTGAAACCTGGCAAGGTGACTTCATGACTCACCTTGCAGCAGAGCTCACACACCCCTGCTTCTGTCCCCCCAATAAACCAGAAGCTGGTTGTGCTTCCACTGAACATGGCAGTGAGAATCCCCCAACACCCAAACCACCCTGCTCTTCCCCTACAACTCTGGATTCCCCAAATCCTACTCTGCATGTCAACAGACAGCAGATATGATTTCCAGCAATAGACCTCATGAAGTGGATGCCATGGGCAATTCTTGGCTGTAAGAATCTGTAAAGACTAGTCAAGAAAAGCAATGTCGCACCTTGTCCCCACTTTATCCTGGGTCAGCTCAGCTCTGGTCCTCAGCCAACTTCTGCTTGAGCAGATGCTAAACTCTCTCTCAACTCATTGTGGCTTCTGCCCTGGCCGCCACCCCCCTGCCGCTGCAGCCTGGGGCTCTGTCACAGAAAAGAGGTCCAGAAGCCACTGAAATCCAGATGGAGATTCTGAGGCCTAGCGAAGTGCAGGGATCCCGATCTACACCTTGGTCTGGTTTCTGCTAGTCCCCCAAACTGCTTTAAAATTGCGAAGGATTCCTGAGGATTCCTATTTTGGGGTTCTAGATTAAGTCCTCAAGCTTAACCTAAAGTAAGTAAATTCTCCTAGAATAAGCTTTTGATGTCTCTTACAAACCTGGAAAAGACAGAATTCAGGGCAAAAAGCAAATGAGCTGGCCCTGGATCCTCGGGAAGCGGACCTGCCCCCGCTGCTGACCTTAGGCCTGGACTCCTGATGTTACAGGCCTGGTTGAGGCTGTGGGCTGGGCCGCAGGCAGTGCTGGGAGATGCGGGCTCTGTGGCCACGTCTCCCCCAAGGAGCCATCAGTGATGCTCTGAAGCACAGGGTAGACCACACAAGCTAGGGTTCAGCTGGTGCTCCAAACACAGCCACCCCACAGGCTGAGAGGGGCCTGGAGACAATGGCCATGGGGAGGCGGCTGGGTCCTGGCGTACAGTGCAGTCGAGGGTTTCGGCGACCAGGGAGTCAGAATCCATTCACAGTGAACAGACACTGTGTTGGTGCCAACCATGTAACAGACACCGAGGACACAGTAGTGGAAAGCTGCCAAGTTCCTACGGCCCTGTGCTTACACCTAGGGACACAGTCAGGAATGTTTTGGAAGCTGAAAACAGACAATTATGAGGAGCATACATTGTTTTGAGGGTCCCCTAGCTTACTTGCACCTCCTCTCCCCACTGTTTAGTGCTCCAGCCCCGTGGCTGTCCTTCAGTCTCTCAGACACGGCCTGCGCACGCTTGCCGTATCCTTCCATAACAGCCCTTCTAAAACCCCTCAGTGGCTTTCTGGGGCTCTGGGAATAAAGCCCCCAACTGGGGGATGTACAGGCTAACGGAGTAGGGTTGGTGGAGGCCCTGGTGATGGGCACAGTGTGGTAACACACATCTGAAGAGGTGTGAGCCTGTTCCCTTAAATCATCCACAGTATCGTTAACCGACGTTACCTCAATAAAAAATAATACAACTTTAGAAAAAGGTGTCATGTTCTCTCCTGTCTGAGCCCTTTGAAAATGTTCTTCCCTCTGCATTGAACCCTTGCACGTCCTCTTAGCAAACTCCTCGTCCAGTCTGCAGTCCCAGCTGAAAAGCGCCTCGTTGGGCAAATCTTTCCTAACCTGCAAGCTGATTCCACAGGTTCCTTCCCTGATACAGCCTGAAAGCTGCAATATGCATTTTCTGCAATTTTAAGTCCTGACTTCTTAGTGTAATTACTTGATTAATATCAGCTTTTCACACGGAACACGGGCAGAGACTGCCTTAACCCTGGGCAGTGCCTGGCACATAGGGAATAATAAAAACTGGCTGATAAAGTGAACAAAGCACAGGCACAGAATGTCTGATGCAAACTGCTTCCCTGGCCTGAGAGGCACCTCTGGTAAGGCAGTGAGTTACTAGAGACATAAGTGACTTCTCCATGTTCCCTGCAGCAGCAAGAACAGCGGGTGGCACATCACCAGGCAGGGCCAGTCACAGATCCAAGGTTTGGCTTTGGGAACATACTGAAAGCAGACGGCAACGCTGTGTCTGAGGCAATGGTTGTTATGAGTGATAGTTGCATGCACACATAAATCATAGCTTATCTTTCCTGTTTTTTGAGCTACAGATGAATGGAAGCATATTGCATGAAGGGGCAGGGGGTGCTATATCACGTTAGTTTCACACACGAGGTGGTCATCGCCATTGTTTTATGATTACATAATTCTGTTCCAGTATAACCTACTTCCCATGGCCATCTGGACAACTGCAACACAGCTCCACGAACATTCCTGCGCACGTGTCCTGGGCCACAGGCAAGCAGGTGCGCCCCCACTTACTAGATTAGGAAGGCTGTTTCCAAAGCAACTGTAGCAGTGAGCACCCCACCGCAGGCTAGGAGCACCTGCTCCCAGTCTTCCTTCCTGGGTTTACGTTACCCCATCCCTTTGTGGGGATCATGTGCCCTTTCTCATTCCTCTGTGGGGATGAGAGCTCCCCTTCAGCTCAAGGTGGAGCAAGGGAATAAGAGTTTTATGCCCCCTGGCCGCAGAGCTTGCTTCAGGGGTGAGAATGTGATTTAGTGACAGCCAATCATAAGGAGACCTAGTAGAGATTGGGGGGAAGATTCTCCTGGTTTCTAGAGAACTTGTGTAGCAGGGTCATATGGTCTGGTGCTGCTGGAGCAGATTTGCTAATCAGAGGGTTGGCCTGTTTGAGAATAAAGACATCCCAAGGATGAAATAAAAGATGGTTCAAAGGCATCTTGTGAAATCCTCTATCAAGCTGTGCCTGAAGCTAGGTCTATCCTTGAACTTTTCCATCACCCCAACAATAGATGCCCTTTTTTATCCAGCCAGCTTAGACGTGGACTTGTGCACATCATCTGCAAACACACACACACACACACACACACACACTCTTGACTAATACAGGAGGGGAATTATTGGAGGTTACCAGGCTGAAATATACAAAGACCTTGTGCAGGAAAACCAGCCTGTGTATCCTGACAGAGGCCTGGAGACACAGGTAGACACCAAGTGCAGTGGCCTCTCTGGCCCCCCAAAGGTAGACAACAATCTGCCAAAACCTGCCTCCAGCCATCGAGGTCCCTCCCCCCACTGAAATGCAAGTAGAACCTTCTTCCACCCCAGCTATTATTCTAACTGAAGTAGAATGTGTGAAGTCCTATGTCAGGACTAAAACCCAGATTCTCACCCAGACTCAGTCTCTCTGTTGTATGGACTACTGAGCTTTCTGAGTCACAGTATCACCGTGAAGATATGGGAGTGGAAGGGAACATGCAAATTTTCCCCAGGTGTGAGATCGTGGGAAAATATATCTGGGTGTCATCTGCTCCTGGTTCCCGAGCTCCAGAGTCCTGTAAATCCCTAAGTGAAACAGTGCCAGGAACATCTTTTGTTCCAATGAGGTAGGTGTGGGCAGGCTCCTGAATAGGGGGTGAAAGACCTAATCATGATTAGAACCTTGGAAATTTCAGCCTGCCCCCCACCCTCCAGGAAGAGAGGAGAGACTGGAAATGGAGTTAATATTGATCATGTCGATGTGAGGGAGCTCCCACAAGATCCTAATAGTTTGGGTAGCATCCAGGTGGGTGAGCACATCCAAAACAAAGGGGTGACCCACCCCAACTCCATGGGAATAGAAGTGCTGTGCTGGGGACTTTCAACCTACTTCTCTCTTCTTCTGTATCCTTTATTGTATCTATAGTAAACTTATAAACAAAACTAAATGTTTTTGTAAAATAAAGGTTTAGCAAGCTTATCAGCTTATTTAATGTGCAACATGAAGTCACGACTGTTATCAAGAGTGACCAAAGAGAAAGAAACTGGAACTCCCTGGGCCAGCCAGGCATGCCAGTATTAAGGTATTAATTTAAGACTTAGTTTTACTTACTTATGCATACAAAAACTGGAGTGTAGGCTAGAGATGTGGGGGCTGAGGACTCACCGGAGACAGAGTGGGGAGCAGAAAAGGTAGATGGACTGAAATACACTGCTGAGGGGAGCAGCTGGAGAGACAGGAGTGGTCTGCTGTGCCATGTGGGTCAGCAACCTGGCTGGGGGATCGAACACATCAAACTCATGCTTGTGGATGGTGATAGCTTGATAGCACTGAGACTTTAACCCCTGGGTCACAAGAGAGGCCCTTCAGGTATCAATTTTGAGCTTTCTGGGTCACAGACAAGAAGCCAGTTTGTTAAATTTAGTTCAGTGGAGTAAGTAAAATGAACATGGAAAGGGAGTGAAGTGGAGATACCACAGCCATTCACTCCTTGATGGAGGGATGAAGTCTCCAGCTAGGGAGTTCGCAATTTTCTTCCATTTTGAGACACTAAGGACATGACATTTTAATGTGGCCAGTGGTATGCCATCAGTTAATCAGTAAAATATTTCTTCAATGTGGGACAGAAAATAATTGATGATATCTTAGATTTTGTGAAATGTGGCCTCTGTCCTACCAAGGGCGGCAAGATTCATCTAACACACAGATCTCATCAAGTCACATTCCTGTTTCAAAATTCTTGGCTGAGGTCAAAACTGCAGCAGGGGACACAAGGTCACCCACCACCTGGCCCCCACTCACGAGGCAGCCTGCACCCCTGCCTACTCTGAAGTTAGAAACACTGAACCAGAAGACCGTCCCCAGCCCCCACTCCTTGCCCTCACGTAAGCTCTCTTCTCAACCCAGCGCACCCCTCCAAGTCAAATGAAATCTGCCCTCTCTGTGAGGCCCTCCCATGCCCATTCCTCCTCCGAGCTGACTGAACCATCCCCTCAGCAGATCCTGCAGCTCTGCGAATACTGCATTTCTTTCACAGCACCATCTCACAGCTTCCGAACTGGTATTTGGCTAGCCTTTCTCCCAATCAAAATGCGAACCCAAAGGTCTGTTCTTGCTAATCATCTCTATTACCTGAAACAAAGTAGACAGTCCGTAAAGTCTATGGAATTAAATGTCATATCGTGGGGCCTCCCTGTTGGCCTAGGGGTTAAATCTCAACACTATCACTGCTATGGCCTGAGTGGATCCAGGTCAGGGAGCTGACCCACATGGCCCGGCAGACCTCGCCTGTCTTGCCCACTGCTCCCCTCAGCAGTGTATTTCAGTAAAATCAGCCTGTTCTGCTCCACACTTTGTCTCTTACCTGCCTTCACCTCTGGCCTACACCACCGTTCTTTTGTGAATAAATAAATAAATCTTTAAAATCAATCAATCAATATTACCCCGTGACCCTAGGGCCCAATTATCTTCTCCATTCTCCCCTCCACCCTCATGCCTTTCTCATCTACAAACAGAAAGCACGAGGGGCTCCCTGCTGGTTGTAAATATCACACAGATCTCCCTCACCTCTCTCCACAAACAGAGCTGTTGGGAGAAGGTCAATATTCCACTTCAAAGCAAGTTTTAATCCAAATTAAGCCTGTTTTTCCAAAACCAACTTCTTCCCACTCTCCATAACTTTGCTATTTTGATCCTAGGGGACTACATCTGATGTCACCCCAAGAAGCCTCAATTTGGGTCACAGGCTCTCTTCTGCCTGGTGACAGTGATAAGGCTAGAGAAGGGGAGGACACAGGTCAGGGCACCACGCACGGCACACGAGGAAACCTGCACACACGGCATCTACCGCCTGTCTGCTGAGTTCATTTTCCAGTCCCAGCACATGTCGGGAGGAAGAGCAGATTCAGCACAGGGGGACGAGCCTGGGGCCAAGTGTCCAGGAGGGCGACAAGAAGCCCCAGAACTGGACACCACAGTCTCCTGGCAGCGGGAAGCCTGCTCACTACTGAACTGTCTGTGTTCAACTCACTAGGAAAATGCAGCTGGAAATGAAATGGAAAGGTGGTTTCTTGAGGGTGTTAACGTCCATCTGCCAGGTTGCCGCTGTCTGATAGAAGCGCTCCTTAAAGAGTCAATTCCTATCTCTACTGTATTGGCATTTGGTGGGGACAGGTGGCCCAAACGCCGGTCTTCCAGTTACAACAGTACCTTCTGCTCAGGTCAGCCCGGTCTGAGTCCGGCCTGTCACTCCCAGCGGGGTCGTGATATCCACGAAGTCACCCAATGGCTCCCTGGCCTCAGTTTCCTGACGGCTTAAAAAAGGGACAAACAGCAATCTAAATTTCAAGTGATGACATGCTTGAAACTGATAAGTAGGCACATAAGTAAAAGTCTTTAAAGCAAAAGGTCTATAAACAAAGATGCTAGGAAGGAACGCGGGAATCAAAGCCGCCACAGTGTCAACAACAAAATAAAGTAGTATGGAATATAACCCACAGCATATACTGAGTTTCTCCAAAAATCTTCGTAAACTCCTAAGTGAAAGTGCAAGCATTAGGAACATCTTTTGTTGTAATGAGACCATCACACTAGTGTGATACCTTTATACTACATGCAAGTGAATAAGCCAGTAAGTGATACAAATAAATAACAAGTGATTGCGTTAATAAAGGAAAGAACTCTCCCATGCGGAAGAATTCCAAATACACAAAGAAACTTGCCCCTAAAGAAGAGGGGGTGACTCCCCCCTGCATAGGTATGGGCCACACATGTTTTCTTTCCAAAGAGTACAGTACGGACCCAGGGAAATAAAAGTAACTTTACAGTAGAGAAACTGGAAAATACTATCTCAGCCAGGTGATCAGGACCAGGATCCAGTCATCAAATCATGTTGATTTATTCCATGTACCCTCAATAGAATGTGCAGTCTTCGACCTGATAATCCTTAGCCCAGGCTTAGTAAAAACAGAAATTAGCACTGCCAAGGGAAACATAGGAGATATGAGAACTAAGTGCAGTATGGTAACCTGGGTGAGTCAAAAGTATGTAGATAAACACTAAGGGAATGAATGCAGTATGTACCGTGGTCAATCAATATTGGTTCTTTAATTGTACAAATGTACTATATCAATGTAAGGGTGTTAACAGAGGGGAACCAGCTTTGAACTCTGTAATATCCCTGCAATTCTTTTTATAAATCTAAAAGTATTCTAAAACATAAAATCTTGGGAGAAATAGTCACTTAATGTATAATCAACAAGAAATTAATACCCAAGATAATAAGAAAATCTCAAAATTCAAAAATAGTAAAACAATTCAATTAATAAATAGGCAACAAATCTGAACAGATAAATCACGAAAGATATCCAGAAGACAATGGACAATTGGCGAAATGCTCATCATCATCATCACTATAAGAAAGGTTAAAACCACATGAGATAAACCCCTGCAAATGACAAATATTAAAAGGACCCCCAGCAAGACCTGGGAAGACTGCAGCTAACAGAATCTTACCACACTCTTGGAGGGAATGTGAACTGGTACAGCCATTCGGGAAAGTGCATTCATCTTCAAAAACAACAAGGAAATACAGTAATACCCAGCAGTCGCACTCTTGGGCCTCTATCCAAAGAACATGAAACCATCAGCAAAAATTAAATTGCATGCTCTACGTGTTTATCACAGCACTATTCATCAAGGTTAGAACATGGAAGCAGCCCGAATTTCCGTGGACAGAGGATTAGGTCAAGATGTGGTCTACCTACACTGTGGAATACTATTCAACCAGAAGGAAAGAAGAAATGCAACCATTTACAGCGAAATGGAAGGGATTTGACAAAATAATGTGCTGACAAAAATAAATACTGGGGCCCTCCCTGGTGGCACAGTGGGTTAAAGCACAGCACTATGTAGCTATCCACAGCCCCTGCAGCACAAACTCAATCCCGCAGGGAGGTGACCCACATGGTGCAGCAGACCTCTCCTGTCCTGCCCGCTGCTCCCCTCTGCAGTGTATTTCAGTCAATCTGCCTTGTTCTGTTCCCCACTCTGTCTCTGGTGAATCCTCTCACTCTCCCGCACTTGTGATCTGTTCTGTATGCATAAATAAATAAATTGGGCATTTACAAAATGAATAACTTTACAAAGAAAAATATAAAAACTAGCAAACATTAATAAAGGCAGTGAGGGCCCAGAAGTTAAGGGGAAAGAAGGATAAAGGGATAATGGTGGAAAAAAAATAAAGTCTTAAACAAAGGAAATTGCGTACCTTTCTGGTGGTACAAGTGGTTAAGTCTCGGCACCATGAAACTATCCACAGCCACCGCAGCCATGAGGTAGCTCCCCTACCTGGGAGCTGACCCGCATGGCACAACAGACTTCACCTGTCTCACCCGCTACCCCCCCTCACCAGTGTATTTCAGTCAATCCACCTGTTCTGCTCCCCACTCTGTCTCTGGTGACTCATCTTCCCGCCCACCCCCCATCTCTGGCCTATACCCCAGCTCTTGTAAGCATAATACATCTAAAACAATAACAATAAAAATTGGAAATTGCAATGTGGGGAACACAGAAAAGTACACTTTTTTTCTTAAACTGATTCTTTTAAGATGGGGTCAGGCGGCAGGGGCATGCTAGGGATTAAGATTTTAGCTACCAGGTAAACAGGGGGCGTGGTCCCTGACCCCGATATTAGCTGCATACATAATCAAATGTCACTCGACACTTTTCTGAAGCACACAAACCATTGTGATATCAAAATTAGAAGGTACTGGGAATTTGGAAGTGTCGCCTCCCCTTCAATCCACACAAAGCTAAATGGACACACTTTTCTACCGCTAAATAGACAGAAAATCAGCTGAGCAAATACTAATGTACTAACAGACTCAAGAGGGAGTGAAGACACACAGCTCCTGGCATGTGAGGCTAAGCCGGTTTGTTCTGATTAAAAAAAAAAAAAAAGGACGGAAGGAAGCGATGACTTTGGTCATGGAGCGATGGCCCTCTACCGCTGCAAGGTACAGAGCGTCGTCCCAGGTGGCTTACGTGGTCTGGAGACAAGAAGGGGTCTGCCCCAGAGTTGAACACAGGTAAACCTAGGGGAAGGGGCGCAGAGAGCCCAGCAGGCAGGCGGGATTAGGCCGCCCGAGAGGCGAGGAACCCGCGGACTCCAGGGACCGGCGCGCCCCGAGTGCCCGGCGGCGCGGCCCGTCCTGCCCGCGCGG